ACGCTCCCGGTGTGAGTTTAAGCCTCCGGGACTCGAACTGCAGTCAACTACATGGGAGTCCAGCGACATAGCCATTACACTAACTGCTGGTCCCCCCCAAATGATCACTTTTTAAATACTGATTTGTTAACCTTAGGAGACCATGATAGGGAGGGGAAAAGCTGTTTATTACAAGCCGAAAGTGCATTTCCCCCCAATGGAAAGGCTTCTTTTCTCTCTCGTGTTTGTGAAGATGAATTCCAGGTCTCAGTGTCAAATGTGACATGGGATGAGAACAGTGGGACTTAACTCTGTGTCACGCAGTTATGGCGTCTGTGTTCTGACCCATTTAACTATGTGACAAAGGAAGAGTACCAGTGGGTGAGAGATGAGTGAAACACCCAGGGGATTTCCTCTTATCTCACTTCTCCATTTTTGAAAGCGTATTTATCTGATGAGCGAGAGAGAGAGAGAGAGAGAAGAAACAGCACCCCCAACCGGGCCTGACCCATACTAGCCTCGGCCAGCCTTGGGTCAGCCTGGCAAAGTGTAGTGTTTTCCATCTGTGCCACAGTCCAGTACCATGTCTCCATTTCCTCCAGTCTCTTAAAAACCTTTTCCCCCAGAATTAAGTGTGTGGGGTCGTTTCTAGATATGGACCCTGAATGGGACATGGCAGTCTTTGGCTACATGTAAATAGGTGTGTAATAGGAAAACTTCTCTTTTCGGGTTTGGGATGTTCCTTATTGGCAGGAGGTTATCTGTCCTGAGAGGACACATCCAAAGCCTCTCAGGGGAGTGCTCCCTGAGGAAGGGGTGAGACCAGCAGTGTGGAGCCACCCTCGGCATGGACACACTGCCCTGACCCACTCTGCACAGGGAGATGGTGTCACTAGTTCTGTAAGATAGATTGACATTTTCACTTTCTCAGGCTTCCCTTAGAGGATAAGGTAATAACTGCATTTCAAAAGACCATTTAATGTACTCTGAAGAAAAAAAATGTTCTAGCAGAATGATAACTCCGATTCTGAAGGCCACCTGTGAATGCCAAACCTCTCACACACATTCTCAGTGTTTACAGGTATAACTCCGGTAATTCGCGGAGCTCCTCCAGGATTGGACCTTGCCTCTGTAGCTGTATATCCCTAAAACATACCACGTAGCGCAGAGCAGGCCTCCAGTAAATGTTACTGCTGAATTTAAAAAAGTATTATAAGTTCTTACAAAAGTAGGTGCTGCTAATAAGTTTGGAAGTCAGATGTGTTTCCTTGAATAGTTGAATGTTGGTATGCTCTAATTTTGTGTGCACAGGAATCTGGTTTTGGAGCAGTACCCCGTTCGTCAAATTGAAGACAGTGTAGACCCCGCTGATCTGTATGAGGTAGTGGGACTAGATTATCGGTAGTCTCTTTAAGCCCGAACTGTTCAGAATTCTGTGAAATTCCTAACACATAATAGACAATAAATATTTACTGAATAAGTGAATCGAGAGTATGTTAAGTGAACTGAGGGTCTTGTGGGCCACCCTGGAGCCTATGGATTTTACTCTGAGGAGATAGGAGTCTTCAGAAGGTGTTGAGCCAGTGGGAAGCCTGGTGTGACTTATATTCCAGGAGGATTCCTCCAGCTGTTTTCTCTCTCTGCATGAGCAGGAAGATCAGTTAGGAGACTCTTGGAATAACCGAGGTGTGAAGTGATGGGATTTGGGGCAGACGAGGTGGTCAGAGTCTACATTGGCCTGAGAGAAGAGCACATAGGAGCCTGATGACTGGATGAAGAACAAAAGTGGCTTTAAGCTTTTTGACCTGAGTAACTAGAAGAATGAAGAGATCATTCACTATGATAGATGCAGGTGCAAATTGGGAGGAAAGGAAATGAAAAGTTCTGTTTTAGTGGTGGGATCTCCATGGGAGATCATGGATTCAGTTTTCCAGTCAGCTTGTACACATGTGCATGCCCGGGATCCAGGCTGGCTGGGAAGGTGGGGCTCGGAGGGAGGGGGCCTGACATGAGATCATGTTGAGCGTTCTTGTCTTCCTCTCTCTCTCTTACTCTCATTCTCATGAAAAAATTAAAAACAAAAATTTGAAAATTCTGTTTTGGGCACATCAAGTTTGAGATGTGAATCCAAGGAGGCTTATAGTAGGCACTGAAAACACAAGTCTGACATTTGGGGGAAGTCTGGGATGGAGATATAAAACCAGGAGACAGAAGTACATCGGCAGTACTAGAAGCCATGAAACCAGGTGAGAGCATGGGGGATGGAGAGACGGATACTGAAAATGCAGCCCTCCAGCATCTGGAGGTCAGGAAGATCTGAGGAAGAGCTAACAAGGGTGGGAAGAAGGGGCAGTCCACAAGGTAGGAAAACCAAGAGGGTAGTGTTAAGAGCAGAGTGAAGAAAATCTTTCAAGAATGAGGGCATGGTTGATAGTATCAAATGTCCCCATTGGTACAGATTTAGGATTGGCCATTGCATTTGAAAATAAGAGGATACAAAAAAAAAATAGAAAAGAAGGAAGGAAGGAAGGGAGGGAGGGAAAGGGAAGGAAAGGAAAGGAAGAAGGAAGTAAGGGAGGAAGGTTGGTTGGTTGTTTGAGGTCTTGTCAAGAGATGTTTGAGTGGAGTGGTAATAATGAAAGCTTCTTTAGCAGAGCTCCAGACAAGAGAGGAACAAAGTGGAAACAGTGATAAAGGCAATCATTTTGAGGAGTTTTATGTATTTTAAAAGGAAACCAAGAAATAGGTGGTAGGTCTTCAGAAAGATGTGAGGTCAAGAGAGGGGTTTTATTGAGTTGTTGGAAAAGTCATGGTGAATTTTTGCATAGAAAACTAGGTCATGACTTTTCCAACAATCCAATGTCTTGTGGTGGATCATTTTTAATATGGGAAAGTAGGTATATTTGCATACTAGTGATATCCATCCACTAGAGACAAAACCTGATGTTGTAGGATGGAGAAAATTGCTTGATCCATGAAGCTGAGTTACTAACCTGGTTCATGACCAAACTTACATATAATAGCATTAAGAGGCCAACTCATGGACCATCCAAGAGTTTATGGTGCCTCTTATTTTATTTGGAATGTTGCTAGATTCTTTGTATACACTATCCTTAATCTTTATGTAATAAGAATTACAGCTGACTCCAAGCTTCTTGATGTAGAATGAAAGTGGTAGAACTGTTGGAAGAGGAAAGAAAGACTTTCAGCCACCAGTGGCAGAAAAAGTAGATGCTCCTACCAAGAGGGTAGTGTTAAGAGCAGAGTGAAGAAAATCTTTCAAGAATGAAGGCATGGTTGATAGTATCAAATGTCCCCATTGGTACAGATTTAGGATTGGCCATTGCATTTGAAAATAAGAGGATACAAAAAAAAAATAGAAAAGAAGGAAGGAAGGAAGGGAGGGAGGGAAAGGGAAGGAAAGGAAAGGAAGAAGGAAGTAAGGGAGGAAGGTTGGTTGGTTGTTTGAGGTCTTGTCAAGAGATGTTTGAGTGGAGTGGTAATAATGAAAGCTTCTTTAGCAGAGCTCCAGACAAGAGAGGAACAAAGTGGAAACAGTGATAAAGGCAATCATTTTGAGGAGTTTTATGTATTTTAAAAGGAAACCAAGAAATAGGTGGTAGGTCTTCAGAAAGATGTGAGGTCAAGAGAGGGGTTTTATTGAGTTGTTGGAAAAGTCATGGTGAATTTTTGCATAGAAAACTAGGTCATGACTTTTCCAACAATCCAATGTCTTGTGGTGGATCATTTTTAATATGGGAAAGTAGGTATATTTGCATACTAGTGATATCCATCCACTAGAGACAAAACCTGATGTTGTAGGATGGAGAAAATTGCTTGATCCATGAAGCTGAGTTACTAACCTGGTTCATGACCAAACTTACATATAATAGCATTAAGAGGCCAACTCATGGACCATCCAAGAGTTTATGGTGCCTCTTATTTTATTTGGAATGTTGCTAGATTC